CATTTGTGAGATTAATATTTATAATGAAAAATCACAAGCAAAACTTGTACTTCAATAGCACTGTTTGTCAAAAGATAAACTGTATTTGACTTCATTTGTTCTCTGAAACATACAATAAAATGGCCATCATCATTCAAAACACAAAGCTTGATAAGCAAACCCTCTTAGGCTCCCGTTGTCTTGCCTCATATATTTTAATGAATCATTCTAATCCTTTTCAGCGCAAGTATAATATTACTTTTATGTATAGCAACTCATGACAATAGCAGATGCCTATAAAGTCTTGATAGCATAAATTAAATAAAATTCATTACAGATAATCTACATTCAAACAGATAGCTCTGTACAGCTGAGAAAAGTCTGGAGGTTTCCCCGTATACTCATAGAGCACTTGTTCTATTCTCCAGTTAAGTTTATGATACCAACGAACTGAGGAGTCCATTAGCAAGTTTATATTTTGCTTTTCATTGCACTTGTTTGACGATCTGGATTTATAATTTATTGATGTTTTCCTTTAAGAAATGATTGAAAGAACAATTATCAGGAAATGCATGTTTTGCAGTATTTGACAAATATGTATATCAGGCATGTTTGATAAGCAAGTGTCACGAAAAACAATTTTCCACCGAAATGTCTAAAATTATATGTCTAAAACTAGAGTTGTTTTTGCAGTGTGTATAATTTGGAAAGGTCCATAGAGCTCAGTTGCTAGACATTTCAGAGCTTGCCAGACACCATCTGAAATTTTTATCAGAGCAGATCATCAAGTCTGAGAAGCCATGTAATATATCTCTCTACCTTAAGCCAGCAGACATTGATATACTGACATTAAAGAAGAAAAGCAATGGAATTTTCCATTTTTCATTTTTTCCCATTTCAGAAATTGTGCTAAAATAGAACAAGTGTAAATTTGTGCATCTAAGGCCTTTGAGTGAGATAATGCAATGGCCTATATAAAGCATCTCAAAAAAAGACACGAATTTCCAAATAAAAGCCCAACATTAAAGACCTTTCGAGTGGAAGCCAACAGGTGCCTTAACAGCTATGAAATACAGACTGTAACAGCACCGGCTACTAACAATGTTGATTTCCCTCTTTCAGTGCTAACACAATATAAATATCAAATCAATGCAACTATTGTGTCAAATGTGTAGCATTTATCTGTATGTTAGTCACATAAAAAATCTGATCTTTCGGTTTATTTTTACATATAGCCTATTATTTTCTTTTTTCAGAATATATGTAATGGGGGCACGGGGCAAATCAAGTGCAAATTGCATAATTTCATAAATAATGTAAAACTTGCCTTGACACAGCTGTATCAGGTGAAGAAGATAATGTTTTGGGACAGGATAACTTATCAGGGGCAGAAGAGTTAATTCTGCACCCCTCCCCTCCCTCTTGGCCCCCCAGTCCAGGTCCAGGTCTGAAAATATGGGACAATTCGCATTTTAATTATATTTTATTTATATGAGGCACGGCATGTTTACAATTCATTCTTATATCTGGACAGCAAAGAGACCGTCCATCTTCCACAAAATCAAAAACGATGCAACATTATAAGTGCTGTCAAGTTTCACCAGCCCTGGGCAATATTAGACAGAAGTATCAATCAGTAAGTAAGACATCTGATTGATTAGTCCCACCTCTTCTAGTTGCTTGGACACATCTCTTCTAGAATCTGATTCGATATGTCTCTGAACCAATCGTTTTTCCTTCTGCCCTCAAAACATTTTTGTGTAAGTAGAACTCCCATGAGCTAGGGAAAAGTACTTAGTCCAGAGTTAGGACAGAGATATATAAAAAAATATTCTCCTCCTTTTCATTAGACCTGGTGCGTTTATAGGGCAGTGATGAAAATCAAAATGGAGCTTTTAATTGGTTCAAGAACTACCTTCGAGAGACAACAACTGGCAGAGTTTCTAGCGGGTGAACGCCACAGAACTTCCTGACTCCTGAAAAAAGGTTCTGGTTCCTAAAAAAGGTTCCTGCGGTGGAAAAGCGCCTTGTGTAATAATCCTGCATTGCCTCTCTCCTTACTTCTTTTCCTAATCCATAGCCCTTTAAACCTTAATACTTAAGCAACATTGTTCTATACTTCAGAAAGAAATACATACTTGGAACGAGCACGCTGTCTAAACACTGCTCGGGGCTTTAGTTTTATGAGTTACTCCTTAGCCTCAATTAAATATCGCAGACCTCTTAAACCACAGTTCGTCCTTTGAACTGTAGAGAGAGGCATGGGTATTTGAAGTGATCTTTCTTGAATACCACTGCACACCTTCGCTACACCTGTAATCGCTCGGTGCCTTTAAATCCTCCCGTTTTCATTCTTCTCACCGGCTACAGCTTTTCAATGCAAATTCCGTTCGGATTTTGCTGCACATGCAATGAAGGAAATGCTTCGGCCAAGTTAAAAGTTGAAACACCGAAAATATCTATCTAGTTTATCAAATATCTATGGTTCTTGTGAGCGTAATAGCAGTAATGAGATATTATGGATTAGTTTAACTTTAATGACATGAAATTATACAATGAGGAATGAGGAAAGTAAATAGCTTCCCTTGCATTTAGGACTATCCCGTTGATGAAATAAATTAGAACGGAACAGGTTACAGGATAATACTGTTGCTGGTGTATATATAAGGTTCATATCAGTCACAACAAGCATGTAACACTACCAATGCACCAAATCGCTGACCCCCAAAAACGGTAATTTTCCTTGGCACCGCTTCTGCTCAGTCTTGGCCGAATACCCGGACTCCCGTCCTGTGTGCCTTGACCAAATGGCCCAGGGCAGGACGATGAAGTCTCATTAGCCTGCAGCGTCATCCGACAAGGAACAGACGCGTGCCAGCCCCCCGCCCCCACCCGCTGACGGAGGGGCCAGCGAGAGTCCCGGAACACGGGGAGCTCACGCTGACCCTGGCATCTGGCAACCCGATGCCTTGCGGGGAAGACTTCAAGCATATGGTGTCGTTATTATCTGTGCCTTCTGTACTCTCACATGGGGGAAGGTGGGCTTTGCTCGAGAGGGGCAGAGGGATCCAAGCTCTGGTGTTGCTGCTTACATGGAAACTTACAAAGCGCCTCATGGAACTGGTTTAGAAATCTAGGAGCGCTGGTAGCTGTTAATGACTCCACATGGACTGCACTCACAGGCATATTTGTATATAATATTGCCTGAACATTATATACCAATTCTAATAATTTCCACCAGATCACAAACATCCATGCCCTTTATTTGTACAGACACCCTCTACAACAAAATTACTTTCATATATCTGCGTTTTATGACATTAATTAGTTTTGGTAGGCTATGTACTTTAAAATGGGAACAGGAACACAACCACAATGGCAAATAATTAATTCATATAATCTCATTAGCTTCCCAGTTACCTCACCAATCCTCATATGTTAAAAACTGTACAAAACATGTGCATCCAATCGCTTGAAACACGATGCCTTGGTTCATCAATGTCCTGCTAAATAAAACTCAATATCTTCAAATGGGTTTCACTCTAAATAGGAGAAGACGATGCAAAGTGCAAAGGATTGATTATGCATTGGAGACATTTGCTTGTTTTTAACTTCCAAAAAATATAAATATGTACATATACATGTGCTGTATATATATACCTAGGCGCGTAACACATAATTCACGCCACCTGGTGTAGAAAGCGGGCGTTGCACGCGGCTCCGTTTGCATCAACGCAAAGCGCACTGTTCAGTAAGCATCAGTTTCACTTCTAAAATACAGTTTTACATGAACTGACCGCACATAAGCAGTAATCTGTCTCTCATTATCTCTCCCTCTCCCTTCCTCTCTGTGTCATTGTATGGTGGCCCAACAATACCTTAACATATGCAGAACCGAAGGGAAAAATGAATATTTTATAATTGCTCAAAGTTTAGGGCAATAGGAAAGCAGTCGCAGCAACTACGCAAATAATAAAGATACGTTATTAATATATGCAGTTATACAATTTCGGTACTTCTCCCGTAATCATTATAGTACACAACCACATGCATCAATAATAACTGAAAAACAACCCTCAGTATAAAATTATATGATTTTCAGATGATTTGCAATTTTAACAACTTAGTAGAGATGCATTGATGTGTTTCATATGAGGTAAGCAATAAGGATCCTGACGACAGTGCAAACTTTTTAAACCGCAGTCTGACTACTTTTTCCGATTAACTAGGAAATGGAGCGCACAACTACGAATAAACACTGTCTGCAACTGATAATAATAACAATAATGCGGACGTTTTAATGCGCAGCGGCTTCAGTCGAAATTTACAATGCCGATACATTTTCGCGACGCATTTATTTCAAAGCAGCAACTATATCTGGTTGTAACACTCACCTCCTCTCCATACACCGCATCGACAGTTATTTTATCGCCAGCAAAAATAAACAATACAATGAATAGCCTAAATATATTACAATTAAAATATGGATCAAGCGTTCCGTCGTAGAGATGTTATAAAAATAGCACACGAACCATGGCTAAAAGAACCGATACAAAAAATTAAAGGAAGAAGAGAATTTACATATTAGTACAGTATCATCCAACTGCCTGCAATGACAAAACCTGGGTCAGTATCTCACCCAGCAGACGCCGCAGAAAACCCGGTATCCTCAGAATACTAATTAAAGAATCGGGCACTTATCACTTGTCATGCATTATGCATTAGTGTCAAGAAACAACATTACTCAAGCTCAAGAAACAGTCCGGCACTCGTCTTAAAGCGTCAAACTTAAATCGCTTCCCCCAAACTCAAAAAGTAACAGATTCCATGAATTACCTTCAAATTCATTGCAATTTTTATCTTGCCCCCCTTCTCAGTTTCCTTGTTCACGATGCCCTCTAATTCATGGGACTCAAGTACAGCAACTTTTGAAAATCATTTCAATTTATTTTATTCTTGCGGCACATTTACTGCCTATGCAAGGGATGTCATTTTAGTTTTACTGTAACTCAAAGTCTTACCTGTTTCCCGAGCAGTTATTATATAGCACTGTGTGGGGCTGCTTGATCTTTCTGCTGAGTGGTCTTCGTACTCTCAAAATAGGAATTAAATGTAAAACAGATCCTCTGCTCCGCGTATATCCCAGCAAAACGGATGCCAATAAATGCTTCAAAGTTGGAAATATAGCAAAGTCCAGTGATAACCTTGTACAAACTGCCAGTTTCCTTTGTGATTGCTGTGATTTCTCTCTCTCTCTCCCTCTTTCTCTCCCCCTTTCTCTTTTGCTCTGTCCTTTCACACACGCGTGATTACAGCCTTTGCTTTTAGCTGCAGCGCAGTCTTGACTCAAGCAACTCAGCGCTCCCCAGCGAAGATGTCAGAGCCGCCACCGAAACGCACAGCCTGCATCCGTCCCTTTAAGATGCTTTTAAAGCAGGAATGATAATTATACCTGTATTGACTTAAAGGGAGGCAGACAGCATAAGATTAGTTTCTTCTCAAAGAACGCATTGATGGGTAACTGAGTTCTGTTCCCATTGTCCCACATCGCGTCGGAACACAAATTAAACGCACAATAATAACGAGATCTTGAATAGGGGAAAGACTGTGCATCACTGTAGCGTTATATTGACTTTATATCTGTACACCCCATTGTTACTCCCTACTTTGTAAGCAGTGAGGCTTGTTCTCCATCTAACGCCATTTACAAATTTCTCCAGTTTAAAACGTATATGATTAGTGCAGTTAACACATGTGACGAGATGAAAAACGCACGATGCCTTTACTTTTGCACTTGTCGTGGGTCATCGGTATAAGTACGTTCATTTTGTTTTACCACTTCGGAGTCATTTTCATAGTAGGCTACGTGTGCTAATATTATCCATTTCAAAGGATTCCCGTTTAAATACATTGCTATTCCCTTAAAAATATGGTATTTTGAAACCTTGACTCATGTGTCCAAACACTGGCTATAAAGTCAGTTAAGTTTTTATTTTTTTCCCCTTTTGTATTGTCTTTTATCACTCTTAGAAATCCGAAAATGACCACCTAGAGGAGGCGAGCTGCTGCTTTTTTCTGTTGCTTCCAATCCACTATATTCACCCACATCTCTCCAGGATGAAGACTGTAGGTGGTTTGTCTGTTATGATGTGATACTTGCACGTTCATTTTACGTCGCATATATTAGGCTTATCCGAGAGAAAGAGCGTTATGTGTTTATCGTACAGCAAAGAGCGGATTTTAAATTTGAATGGCCGGTAAATTTCTAAATAAATTTGAATACCGGTAACATTAATAAACAAGTTCGAGCTGAGTTTTTGCACTTCAGTCCATGTCTGCGCCACAAAAAGCGCGATCGGGCCTAACACATTAGTAAAAGTGAGTCAGCAAACTTATTTGTTCTACATTTTTCGCTTGAATGAATGTCCGTAAGCAATGTCTATAGGAATAAAGGTCGATCTATGGTATTTAAAACTTAAATATCATATGTCAGTTATGCCAAGAGAAACTCCTCAAACGAAGACTTCAGCAATGGACCGCTGAACTATTAAACAGCTGATGACTGAGTACAATATTCAGTTCTCCACTGTGGCAGCGTTTGTGCCGCTCTATGTTATTTAATTAGCTAACTTTATTGCCACTGGATTAGACTGATTCTCATTTAATGCCCGTTGATTAAAATAATATATGAATCTTGATGATCATGTGATTTATTGTAATACCTGCCATGTTACTCTGATTAATGTTTGTTGAACTTTGTAATATGAGAGCAAGCAGCTAGCGTAAACAGACTCCAGTGTTTCTGAGAATTTCAGTTCGCTCCGGTTTTATATTTTATTAACAGAGCTAAAAAGAAAAAAAAAAACAGCTTAGCCCACATACATGCAATACATCGTTTTGGAAAATATGGGAAATTTATGAGGAAAACTGGCTCCCTCTTTACTTTGAGTGGCCGGTAAAGGTGTCCATGATCAGAATGCTGGCGGTTTAAATCCCAGGGCTGGCACAGTGATGTCACTGTTCGGTCCATGAACATGGCCCTTAACCCCAAAAGCTCCAGAGATCAGCTGACCCTGCTTCCTCAATTATATGTTGCTTTGGATAAAAGGGTCTGGTAAATGTAACATATTTTGCACACTAGACAGAAGGGACTAATGTTGGAAAAGTGCCATGGGTTGGGTTTCTATAATGCAGGAGAAATGGTGATGAAGGATAAAGTAAAATGTAAAAAGAAAAGAATATTTTTATATAGTGTTTACATCTATATATTTTAATGCTTAAAATGTGCTTGACTAGCTTTTTACAGACTTCATGTTATAGCTGTAAACCCAAAAGGCTCCTGGACCCCCAGACTTGGTCCTCTGTGGAGTTCCATGCCCCTCCTCACTGGGTTTCCTCCCGCAGTCCAAAACCAGGATAATATGAGAACTGGGGGTAGTAAAATGGCCTATGATGTGTGTGGGTCCTTCACAGGCTCAAGATGGAGGCAGGCATGGAAGGAATTATTCATTGTCAAATTAAGCAATATGCTTATTCCCCCCCTCCCCCCCATCATAACTGAAAAGGATCTTACTAATATTTTGCAGTTACTGTAGGCCAGATGCTGTCATTTTCCTTTGGAAGATTGATACAAGAGCATGATATCGGGAATATTTTATTTAAATTTTCATGGTTGACACATCTGGTCCACATTTCAGTTTGCTCGTTGCCTGCAATGGGTGTGGCTGTTCCTCATGGCCACCCCCAGATGATTTCAACGCATCATCACCCACTCCTCTGTGTCTTTCAGTTCTGTCTGCTTAGCATCTTGTTTCTCTGTCTTGAGGTTTGGCTCTCCCTGCTCAGTCTTGGCAGACTGTTTCTTGCTTTGGCTTTCTGGTTTTCTGTCTGTTCTCATCATTCTGTGATTTGGCTCTGCAATTTGGAGTTGGTAGACTGTTAACAGTTTTGACTTTTGGTTCATGCTCTGCTTTCTGGTTTAGCTTTTTTATCATGGATTTTGGTTACTAATCGGCCAACCTTGTTTCATCCCTAAACTATCATTAGTGACCCCCATAGTAACTCAGTGAGTCATTCTTAGTAATTAGAATTAGAATTTGGTGATCAGTGGTCATTGTTAACACACCACAGCACACAGTGCGCAACAACGAAATGTGTCCTCTGCATTTAACCCATATGTGACTTTTGTGACATAGCAGGGGCAGCTAATTCAGCGCCCGGGGAGCAGTGCTTGGGGGCGGTACCTTGCTCAGGGTACCTAGTAATCTACATACAGTACCAGTCAAAAGTCTGGACACACATACTGTAAATTATTTTTCAACAAGATAATGACTCTAAGCACACCTTATGTAGTAAGGATTATTTTATGAACAATAAAAGAAATTGTTCTGAAACAGATGACCTGGCCCCCACTATCCCACGACCGAAACCCTATAGAGCTGGTTTAGGATGAGTTGGATTGAAGAGTAAGAGCAAGGTGGCCAACTTGTGCTCAGACCTGTCGAAACTCCTTCTGGACTGTAGGATAAGCTAGCTACATGTGGAAGCTGGTTAAAGGGACGCCAAGAGACTGAATCGCTGTCATCGAAGCAAAAGGGGACTATGTTGAAGAGTCTAAAATTTGAGAAAGTTTTATGGTGTTGAACACTTCTCTTGCTCCTTGCAATATTTGATATGTATTACTTCATTGCCTCAAGGCCTTTTACTATACGGTGAATAGCACAGCTGAAATAGAGACAAATGCATTAAAAGTAGGTGAGTATAGACTTTTGACTGGTACTGCATCTAGACAGACCAATCAGTGGCCTAATGCCAGCCAATACTCAGTGCTTAGAGGTGGACCTGCGTGCAGTTTGGGGGGGGTTCCACCTGGCCTTGGCATTCAGTAGCTTTGTAATAAAGTCTGATTTTTTGAGACTCTGTCCTGCTGTTTTTACCGTGATGCACTTTGACTATTTAAATATTGCCCACATAGGTACTTGAGATTTGTGATTGCCCTGTATCCGCAGAACTGTTCTTCTATTGTGTGTACCAGGGATGGGGGTGAATAGTCCTCATTATTCCCTAGGCCAGATAAAACCACTTTTTGGTTCAAGGTGTTTTTTTATGTTTTGTGTGTGCATGTACCACTCTGAGCCAAGGAAATGCATTGAGACATTTTTCACAGAAATGAACTCTCAATCCAACCAAATGTTTGCAAATGTACAGTGACGAGACAAGTGTATTCAACAGACAGTCTAGGAAAATACATATTTACTCTTCAATTTTACCAGTCTAATGACATTCATCATGTTTTAAAATCATGCAGCAATATCTCTGCTTTAAGTGCTAGTGCTCTAAAGCATTGTGAACACATTCGCAGCTTGCAAAGGATATACATATTTAACACCTAATCCCAGTTAATCTTGTATACATCTAGGACTGTGGTCATATTAACAAAAGCTACATTTCTGTGTCAGCCAAGTTAAACAAAGTCCAGATATATCTGTGGTTAAAATCACAATTTTATCAAGCATATTCCATATACACTGAGTATTGTGCACCGTACTAATTTAAACATTTTTCATCCATAAAGATGACACAGAAATGTGCTATGGTATATCATTAACACTACGTGCTTACACTTTTTTTTGAATGGTGTTAAGGCAATTTTTTCCCCTTGTTTTTCAGACACTCAGTCATACATTATTTGCGTAACGTCAAAGTAAATGGTCACGGGAAGCCGCGTGCTGTGTCACAGAGGGGTGGGACCAATCAGCCAACCAGCTTTCAGCCCGAGCTGAAAGCTGATTGGCTGTCAGTTTGCCCCCTCCCCTGGAGGAAGAGTGAGGCAGACTCAGCATCGAGGGATGTTTCAAAGCAACTCGCCGTACCCTGTTGACTCAAAGTGCAGGCTGTCTTTCAGACATGAAAAAAACAGGACAGCGAGGGGGTGAGAGGAGGTGTGGTGGTGAGAGTTATTTAATTGGAATCTGACATCAGAGTTTTGCTGCTCTGCCCCTGTTCATCAATCACACAGAGACATAAAATAGCAGAGGTGACGGCTCCGTTCCTCTTTCTCATTGCAGAGCCCGCGCCACGATCCGCACTGACTTCTCTTACACCGGCAGCCCTTGCTCCCCCTCCTTTGGGGCCACATGGCATAAAATTGCATTTAGATTAGATTACGTTGAAGGTAAATACTGTGCAAAGTTGACAATTGAGTTTTATGCTTTACTGGTCTCATGCAGCTTTATATATAAGTATTACTTTTTCCCACTTTCGATTACCAGGAACCTATAATCGAACCAGTGTTCTCTTGTAGAGCTGGAACTGCTTTAGGCTAGCTAAAGAGCCATCGCGGTTCAGCGTTTATCTTCACTGGTATGCTAATATCTGCCCGTCTCTCTGTATTCTGACCCATTTATCTAATCTGTGGCTGTGGGGGAGAATGTCAATAGTGTCCACCTCAAACTATCCACAACGATCCAATACCACAATAATGTTATATCATATAAATGTTTCAAAAGTACATTTATCCCTAGTCAACCTCTACCCCAATCCAAAACGGGATTTGAATGATTTACAAAAGAGCTCTCTTGACATGCATGTAGGACATTCTGTTCCCCAAGGATTAGAAAATAGATGGTTTTGAATCAGGTATATCTCTTGTGGGTTGGGAAACAGAACCAAGTGACATGGGAAGAGGATCTTTATTTGGGGAAACAGAAATAAAAATAAACCCCGAAAAAAAAAACTGAGACTTTTTTAAAAATATATTTCCTATAAATTGTCCTGTAAAACTGTCCTGTTTTTGTACTTTTCAAGTCTTTATACTCACTGCCCAGCTCGGGCTTTTGTCTGTGTCCCATTTCAGGTTAGACATCGTGTCCCCAATCAGGGCTTCCAGGCAGCTGGAAGGTGACCAATGTTTCTATATTGTTGTGACAACCCTCAGGCTTTATTTCCCATTAGAGAAAAAAGGAAAATAATATGGGGCTAGAAATATATATTTTTCCTCCTCTTTTGGTGAACACA